CAAAGAGACATTGATGAAGATATGTCATAATCAGAATGTCAAAAATCAAAGACAAAATAATACTGAAAGCGGATGGGAATAAGAAACTTATCACATTCAAGGGAACTTCAATAGCTTTCAGTAGATTTCTCAGCAGAAACCCTGAAGCTAGGAGAGAGGTGAAACATTCAATGTGCTAATGGAAAAAAAAAAAAACCAACTGCTAAAAGGAATACTTGACAAAGCCATCCTTAGAAATGAGGAAGAACATGTCCTTAGACAAACAAAAGTGATGGCTTGAAGGAATCAAAAAAGGTTGCTTAAAGCTAAAATAACAGACTATTAATTTGGGTGGGGAGGATATACTGGAGTTTGAACTCAGGGCTTTGCACTTGCTAGGTATGTACTCTACCACTTGAGACATGTTTCTAGCTCTTTTAGCTCTGTTATTTTGCAGATAGGGTCTCACTTTGTGCCCAGGCCAGCCTGGACCACAATCTCTTATTTTATGCTTCCTGAAGTCTCTGAAATGACAGGTGTACACACCACGCCCAGCTTTCTTTCATTGAGATGGGGAAGGAGGCAAGGGTCTCAAAAACTTTTTTGCCCAGGCTGCCCTGGAACTGTGATTATCCTGATCTCAGGCTTCCAACACCTGCACCCATCTAAGGTTGGTAATTAATAACAAAATAAATATAGAAGTAAAAAACTCAACAACATGAGTAACACATAATCATTCTAAGGATATTCAAATATTATGAGTGTTGTGTGAACCAATTTTATCCCTACTATGGGGGTTAAAAGACAAAACTGTTAAAAACAACTATAGCTGTAATAGATTGTTAAGGGATAATAAGTTAAAAATTATGAAATTTGACATCAAAATCCAAAAGTGGGAAGGAGGGAGTGAAATGTAGAGTTTTGTTTACAATTAAAATTAGGTTGGTGTGGGGGAAGGGGAGAGAAATGACCCAAACATTGTATGCAAATATGAATTTTAAAAATAAATAAATAAAATTAGGTTGGTATCAACTTAAAATAGCCTATTATAAGGATAGGATATTTTTATGTAAGAATCATAGTAAAAACAAAGCAAAAAATGCAGTAGTTGTGCCGCTGGAAAAAATTGGTCCTGAAAATTACAGATTCTTGTGTCCAGCAGGAGAAGAATTCAACAAGACGCAAATATTCAGTGAAAGTAACAGTAATTAGGAAAGAATATGCTTTCAACAGACTGAAAGTAGATTGTCTCTAGAGTGAGAACAATAGGACAGAGGGAGAGAAAGAGAGAGACATTTCCTGTTTCCCAAGCAGGAAATGGGAGCAAAAACTCAAAATGGGAGTCCCCAGTTCCTAGTTTTATACTGGAGATCTTGGGGAATACATATGGTAAAAAAAAAAAATCTCAGTCAGGGTGACTGAGATGGCTATTAAAACAGGGAGGGGTCATTTTGGCCCCTGGGGTGATTTCAAAGCATCCTGTGATAGCCCTTGGACACTGGCTACCTGATCCTAAATAGAGATTAGTGGAGTTGGGAAGTTAAATAAAAATGATTTTTTCCTATCTTTCTCTTGTGGCCACCACTTATGTCTAACTGCTACCTGTCAGTAGCTCAAATTGGAGAGATGACCAACTTTCAGTCTATTGAAAATGTTTTTCTGGGCTGGTGGAGTGGCTCAAGCAGTAAGATCACCTGCCTAGCAAGCATGAGGCCCTGAATTCAAAAAGAAAAGAAAAGAAAATGTACTCTCTTTCTGTACGATCATTTTCACTGTTTTTGCATCTTGCCTGAATTCTCCTCACAGAATGCAAGAACTAAGGTATATACCAGCACTAAACTTTCTGGTAACACTGGTCAAAAGTGTAGTAGGGTTGATCATTTCAGTACTGGGAAAGGCTTAAGAGAAGTTGATCAATCAATCTATCTGCCTATCATCTATCTATCTATATATCTGACATCACTTGAGGGAAGCAATCTGGTCAGGATAAACATGCCAGACATTGTTGCCTGGCATGATCTGTCCTGAGAAGTTTCTGCTGTTCCTTTCCTTGGGGACAGTTTTTTCTACTCCTCCTTGTAAACATGTAATCAATCATTCCTGTCTTTCCTGGATTCCAAGGTGAATGGCTCAGAACAAAGACAATAAAAAATAGAGGCAGCAATGCTAAGCTTTTCTCTTGCTTTTACTTAACTTATGGGCTCAAGTAAGGAGTCAATGCTTTTCAGAAAAAACAGTTTAAATACCAGTTACATTTAGTTCAAAACCTCATCAATGTGTCCTTTACTGTCCTCTTCTGTAGCAGCATTCTGGTCTTCTTCTGAACCCTCATTAGAGTTGCTTATAATGTTCTGCTTATGACATTCTAGACTTTCTAGCCAGCTAGACAATTTATCCAGCTTCCTAAGGGCAATACTTTAATTAGCCTCTGTTATCTGCTAATACATCAGCAGCCCACCCAAAAAGAAGGAGAAATGATCAACTGTTCTAGATCATTGATAATATTATCAATTTTCCAGTGTTTTTTTCATTTGCTTCTGTATTCTCTCTGTTACATGAATTTAGTTTTTATATTTGCTAGATTAAATGTACCTGCTATGGGATTTGCTTGATACAAGTAACTAATGTCCTGAACTATGAAATCTAGGTGGTCAGGAAATGTGTCTACTCTGGTCACTATTATGTCATCAGTCTTAACAAGATGAAAGACAGAGAACAGGACTGTGTGTTGAATAACTGGTTGCCTTAGAGCCCTGGAGATTTCTCCTTATGAGTGAATTTGGAGTCTTTTTTTGTTTATTTGTTTTTTGCAGTACTGGGCTTGAACTCAGGGCTTACACTTTGAGCCACTCCACCAGCCCTTAATGTGATGGATTTTTTTTGAGATAGGGTCTCACAGATTATTTGCCTGGGCTGGCTTGAACTGTGATCCTCCTGATCTCTGCCTTCTGAGTAGGATTACAGGCTTGAGTCATTGGCACCTGGCAGTTTAGAGTGTTTTGAGATTTACTCCAGTGTGCTTTACCTAGAAAGAGATCAGTAATTCTCTTCCCTACTTCATGTGTTAGGTTAGAAAACTTGAGGAAAGATTTAGAAAGCTTCAAATATTTGATCATCATTGTATTGTACACTTGCTGAGTGAATTTGTAGCTCTGAAATACTGTGTTTATTGAAGACATACCACAGCTTTAAAGATGTGGGTTTGAAAGCCAGGTAGCTGGGCTCTCACGAGAAAAAATGGTGGAAATGTCGTTGTCCCATTTTTTCATGGCAATAATGTGAGTGCCCAGGGATTGGTGAAGTTATCAGCAACCCCTACCAGGAGGCTCTTATGTTTTTGGCTACTGTTTCCCTATCTTAGCCTCATTTTTTTCCTATTCATATTCTTAGTCTGTTTTTCCAGAATTCTCATTCAATTTGTGAGCTGACCACCTTCCAGTAACTAGCAGAATTTCCTACTTAAAGTACCCAAAGTTTATGCTTTTTTATCTACCTTTCCCACTGGAATGTAAGCTCCATGAAGGTAGGAGTTTTGTGTGTTTGTTCACTGATGGATCCTAGGTCCCTGAAGAGTATGGATATTTGGTAAATATTGATTTAATAAATGAAATATGAGGGAAATTTTCATCAGCTGAATAAGTTGATGGAGTTTGGAAAAGAAAAAATAGAAACTGTGAATGACTGAACTACCTTTAAAATGAGACAAGTAGTTTATAGAATTAATTGGGAGTTGTGATAAGAAAAACTAAGAAAGCAACTTTAGAAGAAGAGATTATGGTGGGGAAAGGAAATCAACCAGCAAGATGTGTGACAATAGGGTCACACAAGTGGTGAACCAAACAGTAAGAAATCACTGACAGTGAGCAGGAAAAATTCATCATCAAGAAGTCAAAAAGCTCATTTTGTCACTGTGATCCACCAATCCCAACAAGGTCCCCAAGAGAGGAAAGGGGACATCTACTCAAGGTGAACTAGGGTCCTTTACTCCACCAAAAAAAAAAAAAAAAAAAAAAAAATTAAGGATGAGTCAGAGGTGAGATTTAAATGCCAGAAAACTACACACTCAAAAGATTGCATGTGGGTGTGAAAAAAAACACACTGTTCTATCTTTACTGAGACACATGTATGTTTCAGGTTTTAACTTTGAGATTTGGATCTATATTGGCTTTCTTTTACTTTTTTTTTTTTTTTTTACTGGCCCTCAGGCTTTTCAATTATTTACTTTGACTTTTATTCCTAGAGTCTAACCTGATGGTTCTGTCCTTATGCTGTGTGTCAAACTAAAGGGGCCATCATTATTTACTACTCCTCCACTGGCACTGTGGTATGTAAGGTCAGATGCCTTACTAGGAATTTACAGTTTTCGCTGGGGTTTCTTTGAGAGGTTAGAGTGTAGGAATGCAGAGTTGACAGTTCTCCATGGAGTCTCTCTGTGAAATAAGAGCTCTGTGTGCAGGAACCAACATAACATAACACAGAAAGGCTTATTTTTACATTTTACTTGTTTTTCCACTTTCTCTTTCTTGTCCTCTCCATTTTCTTATCTCAATTCCAAGTTGTTCTATATACTTACCTAGCGTCCTTACAATACACAATAAACTTGCTACCTTCAACAGTCTTGAGCTCTCTGATGGCTTTATTTGGGAGGGGATGAGGGTGAAAATAAATGGGAAAGGCTTATGAACTTCATTTTGGTCAATATCAGGGAAAAAAACCAAAAGGATAAATAAAGACAACAAGCATTTGGTGCAGACAGAAACCAAGGCAGAGGTGATTGGGTGTGCATAAACCTGCAAGTTTTTGCCAAAATCTTGAGACAGGGCATTGTTTTTCTACTGACTGTAGATGTAGAAAAACATCCTTCTGTAACCAGACAGCCCTCCCTGACCTGTGGTCCCAGTACAGTAATGACAGTGTCTTCTCTTGGGGTGATAATGAGCATTTGAGGAGATGAGGTTGATGGGTGTGCCTAAGTACAGCTTAGGTCTCCAGTGATTCTTTTCTGGCCCAGTAGGAGGCGCTCAGCGGGCCACCAGGCATAGATTATAAGTAGGGGGAATGTTGCCAAAGCCTGAGATCCTGGGAGTGACATCAATGTCAGCAGGTGGCACTAGTGAACGTAAGGAGAAATTCTGAAGGATGGAGGTGAAGTAGAGGAAGAGCTCCATGCGGGCCAGGGCCTCTCCCACGCAGATGCGCTTTCCTGTGGACACAGAAGAGGTGGAAGGGAATATGAGGGTGTTGGGAGCTCCTGACCTGACCACCACAATGAACCTCAGCAACGTCTCAGTTCATGACTGTGTGCACATGTTATCAAGACTCAGTGTGGGCTCCTCCTGCTAGTTCTCAGCTATGACCAGCCTCTTAGTGGGACTGAACAGGTGTCAGCTAGTTCTCTGATGGCTCAGATTCTACTGACTCCAAGATTGAATAGTTTTAAAGAATCCATGAATTTCAAAGCTCTGTTCATTTCAGTTCCTTGAAGGTTTTTCAAATACCTGAGGTGTCAGACACTGGTGAGAGAAAAACCTGAAAGCTCACATTCAAATGGTGATACTATTCATTGAGCACCCCTCTAACTGTGAAAAGATTCATCTGCATTTCACAGGTGAGAACAGAAGTAACTTATTCACCCTGAGAACAGAAGTAATTCAGCCTGACTCCACGATTCACATGGCTTCCATTTAAAATACCATAGGCAACCATGGGTTGCCAAATCAAGTCAGTGAGGTCAGTCTGTCCTGCTACTTGTATTTGTATGGCCTACAAATTATGAATGCTTTTCCTATTTTTAAATGACTGAAAAAATCAAAACAATATTTTTTGATACGTGAAAATAAATTTCTATGTTCATGAATAAGATTTTTTGGGCTTTCACACATGACCTTTTAATGAAGTGTTATTGATGGCATCTTTCATAGTACAATGTCAGAGATGAGTAGTTCAGACTATGACTGACAAAACCTAAAATATTTTTATTTGGTTCTTAATAGAAGATTGTTTCAGTGCTATTACAACTACAACATTTTCTTCTTTTTCTTTTCTGAGACAGGGTTCTTGCTATAGTTGGCCTAGAACTCTCATCCTCTCTGGACCTCTTAAGTGCTGGGATTGCAGGTATGTACCACTATACATGGCTCTAATATTTTTTTCTAATCATAGGGTCAATGCTTCTACTATCACCTGTTCTGGGATTCTGGGATTTTTATGATTCTATGACATAGCCCTCAATTTCCCATTCTAACTTGGATTTCAGGAGATGACTTTAGTACTCACCTGGGGAATTGAATCTAGAGCATAGAAACCTACCAGAGGAAAAGGCCACGAAGGCATCATTTTTCTTGAAGCGTCCCTGTTCATCCAGGAAGTGTTGAGGATAAAAGTCATCTGGGTATCGGAAGTATTGGGATCTCTGAGGACTGAGCCAAGCAGTGGATATATGTCTGTGCCCTGGGGAGAAGAAGACGAGATAATTAAGAGAAGTCAGTGTTGGACACTAGGGATATAGAACCAGGAAGAGAAAGGGGTGCAGGGGAAGGTGACAATGGGTGCTTTCCCACCTTGGGTAGAAAGTAGCCTCGGAAATGAGTGTCCCGGATGACATTGTGAGGACACCCATGGGCACATGTCTGTCAGTCTCTGAATCTCATGGATGACGGCATCTGTGTAGGGCATCTTGACCCGGTCATCTACACTTGGCATCCGGTGTGGGCAATCACCTGATGATCTCTTCATGGATCTTGGCTGGAGTTCAGGAAACATAGCAGGAAAGGAGATGAATGGGAAAGGGCAGGAGGAATTTCTGTTAGAGAAGCCAGGCAGGCCATGTCCTGAACTTTACCAATGTCATTGAGTTAAGGATCTTGATATTATTACTACCTCCAGCAAAAATTGAACTCAGAGGGTTGAAGGCCATGTGTGTTTTAATTGCTTCTTTTTACTTAACAACAGACATATCAAAAAATATTCATCAGACATTGGGAAGCACATACCCTTGAATTCCAGCTCAGATGTTTGGTATTTACATGAAAACACCAAGGAGCCTTGGAAAGTTGATGAGCAGGACACTATCTTGCTTCCATGTGGGCTTTCATGCACAGATCTTTGATCTGTGTACATGAAAAAAGGCCTTTGGCTTGTTTTAAACTGTATTAGTGGAGAGAGTAGCCAAACTGGAGATTTTCCTTAAGCAAGAAACAAATTCCCCATGACTGGATTTACCCAATCAGATCAGATGATATTTTACTGGGCATGGATTCTATTTGATTTTGACAAGGCAGGTGGTAAATTATGGTCTCAAAGATACCCACATCCTAATCCCTAAAGCCTGTGCATGTTGTGTATATGAAGATAACAAAAAAGACAAAAGCAGACTTTAGAGGTGTCCTTAAATTAAGGATTTTGAGCTAAAGAGATTATCCTGGATTATCTAGATTGGTCCTAATATAATCACATGCATCTGAATAATAAAGAGGCAAGAGGATCAGAGTTTGAACAAGAGATGTGACAACAGAAGTAAGAGGGATTTGAACATGCTAGACTGCTGACTTTGAAGATGCTGGGGAAGTCATAAATCCAGGAATGCAGCTCTAAAACCTGAAAAAAGCCAGGAATCACATTCTACCTTAGTTTTAGCCTAGTGAAAGCTACCTGAATTCTAGGAGTTTAAGACAATAAATATATGTTGCTTTAAACTACTAATTTTCAGCAGGCATGGGAGACAAATGTAAGCACCAAGTCAAAGATTAAATTAATGACCTTCCAAGGCAAAGATTTCAAGATTCCACATCTTATGATTATGAAGGACAAGCAGTCTAAGACTGTGGGAGTCTATGTTTTAAAGAGTATGCCTCCCTTTCAGTTAGGAATGGGGGTACCACCTGAGCAGTTTTAGAGTGGATACTCACCTTCTACCTCAGTATGCTTCATTAACAGCAAGAATCCATAGCGTAGCGTAGAGCTCACCGTTTCCGTCCCAGCAAAGAAGAGATTGAGAGCGGTGAGGACCAAGTTCTTGAAGTTGAATTCTGTTTGTGGATTGTCTTTATCCTGAAAGTGAATAAATAGTATCAACTTCTTATATCAAGATTTGCTTATTTTCTCCCTGTGCACAAGGTAGACATTTTTGGAAAATAGAAAAGATGGGTAAACCAAATCTGGAATAAGAAACAACCTGAGGCAGGAATGTGTCTGGTGTGTTAGAGGAACAGCAAGGCAGAGGCCGATGTGAATTGAGTGTAGGGAACAAAGAAGAGAATAGGAGAAGAAAGAGGAGTGTCTTGTAAGATTTGAACACTTAGGACATCAGTGTATATAATTTTTAGTCACCACTTAAAATTATCTGGTTCTAATTTATAAGGATAAAAACCTTTGAATTTCTATAATTCTAAGAATCAGCAATACAATGTCACATTTAGAAATGTCACATTTCTAAATTTCTACATCTCTAAGACATTAAACTTGTGACTTTAATCTCAAGTCTAAAGACTAAGCTTCTCAGTTTCTCAAATCTAAGGCTCAAAAGGCCCATTCTCCTTTTCTACAGTTGTAAGTATATGGCTTTTGTAATTATAAAGTTATAAGATTTTAAGTTACTTTATAGTAAAATTTGCAGATTCACAATTTATTTTAGAGAAAATGTGTATATAAATATACAGAGTATTATATATATATATATATATATATAAAGAAAGACAAAATTCTGTCATTTGGCAGCAAAATGAAAGAACTGGATGACATGATGTTAAGTGAAATAAGCCAGACACAGAAAGACAAGCACCATATTCTCTCTGATATGTGGAAGCCAAAAAACCAAAAGCCAATCTGAATGTAGAATAGTGATTAGTAGAAATTGGGAAGATGGAGGTGGAAAAAGGGAGATTGGGTTTGATCAGTGCATGCTATTTGCATATATGTAAGTATCACACTGGACCCCATTAATATGTAGAATTGATACATGTTAATGAAAATGAATTAGATTTCATTAATTTTAAATATGATTATTATTTTTAAGGTATAAGGGGTTTATTTTTCTACAGTTCCTATATCTCACCTATAAATAAAAGTAAGCCATGTGAAATAATACTTCCTCTTTTGCCCAACTCTTGTGGATGGTTTGCAGGCACTAGGGCTTGAGAAGATAAAAGACTGGGTGAAGGGGAGCAGGTACCTGGTGCATCTTGATGAGGAAGCAGTCAATGAAGTCCCTAGGGTTTTGGGGGTCCAGGGATGCTTCATTGACCTTGACCCTGGATGCTATGAAGTCCTTAAGATCCTCTATCAAGTAGTACAGGTGATTATGTCTTCCTGGCAAATACTGCATGACTCCAGAGTACATATCATATAGCTGCGGGAAATAGGTGAAGGAGATTTGTCAGCACTGGGTACTGGAGACTAGGTAGGCTGAGTTCAAAGTCAAAGGCTGGGGTTAAGAATTGGTGTGGCCCTTACTTCTTGGAAACTTGGGCATATAATTCTGCCTCCCAGAATTAGTGGAAGAATTAAGGGAGGCATAGGCAAGTAGTTAGTTAACTGGGATTGGGGAATGGGCATAGAAGAGACTTGTGGGCACCTGTGCCCAGGGGACGCTCATCTCAATGAAACTCTCATTGATCATCTGCAGAAGACTCAGGAACTGCTTGTCCTCATAGTCAAAGCGGCTTCCGAAGACAACAGAACTGATGACGTTGGACACAGTGCGGCTCAAGAAGAAGGTGGGATCGATGGGGGCACCTGTGTTGCAAACAGTAGAGATATGGGATGTGGAATCACTCAGTGGTGGGTTTGAGTCCTGAATGTTCTGCTCAATAGCAGAACAATACTTCAATTTTGTATTTGAGTTTAGATTTCCCAATCTGCAAGTTGGTTGAGGCACCATCTCATTGGTTCGTGATCCATGTAAAAATGTTTAACACAGTGCTTGATGTGTAGTAAGCACTCAAGGAATTTTGGTGGCAGGGCATGGTGGCACACAGCTGTAATCCCTACATTTGGGACACTAAGGCAGGATGTTCACTAGTCCAAGGTCAACCTGGGCTATATAGGGAGACCCTGTCTCAAAAGTAAAAAAAAAAAAAAAAGGAAAGAAAAGAAAATAGAAAGAAAGAAACTTGGAGTAACTTGAACATTTTTTGTTATTGGTGCTTAAATGTATTTGTGGCAGAGTGTCACAGATTTGAAGGGGAAGTGATGGTAAGAGACACATTTAAAAAAGAAGAAACCTAGTATTCTGTCTAGGTCCACAATGATTCCATTTGGGCTATTTAGAAAATTGTTCCCTAGATCTTAGCTGTACCATCTGTAAAATGGGAGGCTGGTTAGTAAGCAGACTTGGGAACAATTTCTCCAGAGCTGTGCAGACAAATGTACAATTTTACTAACTTCTGGGGTACATGGCAATCAAAGCCTTTATGTAGAACCTGTAAATCATCCAGAGTCCAGAGGAGGAGCTTCTGGTTCAAAGAAATGTATCTCTATTTATATCTGTTATCTATGTATTTCCCAGCTCCTGTGTCTTTTCTTTCTAGACTCTCTTGGTTCCAGATCTTATTTTGGGGTGACAACTGCACTCCTTTAAAAATAGAATGAAATAGACTGGCTGTGGTGGTGCACGCCTGTAATCCTAGCATACAGGAGGCTGAGGATGGAGTATCACAAGTTTGAGAACAGCCTGAGGTACAAAGTGACACCTTGTCTCAAAAAACATACATATATACATACATACACATATATATAATATAACATTGTGCTGTGTCATATATTTATTATATTATATAGATACATATATAATGAAATAAGAAAAGAGTTTCAAGTTTGCAAGATGAAAAAGTTCTAAAGATTACATAGCAGTGTAAATATACTTAACATTACTGACCTGTACACTTAATAATGGTGAAGCAAATAAATTTTGTTATTTTCTTTGCCATGATAAAAATGTATAAACATAATAAAATTTGATTCTGTCTCCAGAAAAGGATACAAACTCACACAGCACCAAAGTCTACATGCAGTATGATGAACTCACAGTCTCTGAGATCCACTGATGAAGGTTCTGGACAAGAGATCTATCTCTAAGGGTCTTCCATGTTAATTTTAACATGGAAACTGGCTGGAAATCTCAATGAATCTTTAATATTTCCCATCCTCTCCCATTTCAGGGCTTTCTGCCACCAAAGCCCATCTTATAACTCAGCTTTCCATAAACCCTCGGTCATCTAATAACCCTCTCCCCCATGTGGCCTTCATACCCTTGGTCTTCCGGAATTCCTCCAGTAGGTAGCCAGCCTCTTCCTGGATCCGCTCCTCAATGCTCCGCTTTCCCATTCCAAAGTTTCGAAGGATAGTCAGGGAAAAACGCCGGAGAGTCTTCCATCGTTCTCCATTGGACAGAGCTAAACCTACCAAGATCTCAGTGTTAGGCTCCTGCCTCCCCACCCTTCCTGTGCTCAACTCTGTGGTAGACAAGGATGGGGGAATATTGCAAAAGTTCTTAACTCTGCTCTCAAGGAAGCCCCTCCCAACCTTCAGAATCAATAAGGAAGCTAAAATTCTCCATCTGAAGGACCCTCAAAAGCATCTGTACTGAGGTGAATGGAAGGGAAATTCAGGTAGGAATGAAAAGGGGACATCAAGGATAGTTTCTTATGGGACACAGAGCTGGAACTGGATAAATTATTTGGTTAATGCCTAGGAAGGTAGAGGAGGTATGAATAGAATGCCATATGTTACTCTCATGTGTACGTATTAGTTCTGTTTTTCTATCTGACATTGGATTTCTCTAGATGTGCATTTATTGTGTACACAGAAGCTCACATCTGTATATCAATATAGATTGCACAGAAGGACTTAAGGTGTAGTATGAGTCATTTATAAATTATCAGATTATGGATTGATGAATTGTTAGGAAATTTAATGAAATTATTTTGGTGGGTCGATAAAGGAAGGAAGAATTTATAACTGGAATGGTGGATGTATGGGTGGATGGATAGATTAATAGATGTAAAGCCATGCACGGTGGCTCATGCCTATTATCCTGGCTACTCAAGAAGCAGATATCAGGAGGATCACGGTTCAAGACCAGCCCAGGCAAAAAGTTTTCAAAACCCCATCTCAACCAATGTCTGGGTGCAGTGGTATGTGCCTGTCATCCTAGCTACATGGGGAAGCACAAATAGGGTCATGTCCAGGTTGGCCTGGGCATAAAATGAGACCCTATCTCAAACATAACCAACACTGGTAGACTGGCTCAAGTGGTAGAGCACCTGGTTGGCAAGCACGAAGCCCCGAGTTCAAATCCTAGTAAAGCCAAATAATTTAATAATAATAATAAGCAACACAAAAGGCCTGGTGGTGTGACTAAAGTGGTAGACTACCTGCCTAACAAGTCTGAGGCTCTGAGTTCAACTCCCTGCCAAGAAAAGAAAGATTAATAGATATATGATTGATGAAAAGGTTAGTAAATGGATAGATTGAGTGATGAATTAATGCATGAATGGAAAATTAATTGATAGATATTTAAACAACAGGATGGAAAAATGTTTGTACAGAAAGAATAATTAATGAGTGTAGTTTTGATGGATTTATGGAGCAATGGGTAAAAGGAAGAAAAGTTTAGGTTCAGAGAGAGAGATGATAGATGATAGATAGACAGATAGATAGATATACAGATAGATAGATGAAAAAAATGAGGTTAGCCTGGTTGGAATTGAAGGATGCAGACAGGTGGATATGTAGATAACACTAGAAAAGAATCATCCTAAGTGGAGGAAGCAGAGACCTGTGTGTTATATATGTGTGTGTAGGAAGATAAGAAAGTTTGGATATGAATGCTTTTATGGGCACACAAAGAGTACCACATTAATTTACTAAGTTAGCAAAATAATGAATGGCACAGCAAGTACTTTAGAGTCAGATGTGGAGTTCAAAACAAAGTGGTTCTACCCACTACTGTGACATTACCTAGTCTTTCTTGCCTTTTGCTTTCCCATTTGCAAAATTAGCATGATATTGATACCTTTCTCAAAAGAGTCAATGCAATAATTCCTGTGTAGTACTGATAAAAGAGCATGGAGCATACTGATAGTATTATAATCATTTTTTATGTTGTTACCTACCATACCTTGGAAGTTCCTCTCTATTGTGGCCATTTCTCCCCGGCCACTGAAGTCATCTGCTTGGTCTATCAGAGCCTCCTTCACCGCCTCATGTCCACATAAATAACTACTGGTCGGGGACCAAGTACACGGTGAACACAGGCCGTATTTCTCCTGGAGCTGGGCGTGAAGGAAGACAGAAGAAAGGGTGGAGTGGAGCATGACATGTAGACCAGTCAGGAAGTTTAGAAGGCGGAGATTTCAGGGGGCTACAAATTTGGGAACGACACACAACAGTAAGTCCTATGTTTGGAAGAACTATTGGAAAAAAGGCATAGAAATTGACTTCTGTGACTGGAAAAGAACCACTCCCTATCCTGAAAGTCTTAATTTCATCTGTGATGGGCCTATATTAGATGAACTTTGGAATTCATGCTTTTCACTCTGAAATGCTAAATTTCTAGAATCTTAAGATTTCATAAAATTGAATCTTAAAGTTCTAAGACAACCTGAGGACAAGAGTCTTTTTGTTTAAGGATATGAGATTCCAAAGGCCTGAGATTACCATGTACCATAAATTTATATTTCCAAGATTCCGGAATTTCAGAATTCTAAGGTTCGCAAAAACTGTTTCCAAAAGTCTATGTTTTAGAAGTCACAAGGTTCTCCATGTATCTGGCTATAGGATTAGTTGTTTCCAGCCCTACTAGAGGAGGTACACAGACTCACCTTCATGAAAGACTGGAAAATGGCATCAGTGCGAATTTGCAGTAGGTTCCCCAGGAAAGGTATTGGTGTGGGACCTGGGGGTAGCTTTCCCCCCTTGTTGATTCGTTTCCAGGCAAGGAGGATGAAGAGACAAGACAAGCAGAGTGCCAGAAAGATGGTGAAGGCCCCTCCCAGCTCCATGGTGTCAGGTTGAGGGATTGTGTCCTGGGCTCCAGAGCCTGCCTAAATAGTGTTTGAATGATCAGTTTATACTGAAATATGACTACCCTGAGATTCAAGTTTTCCGGGTATGATTCCATCAGGAAAGAGATTGCTTGGGGTGTTGGTTATATAACCTATAATCTTCCAAATGAGTACAGGTGTATTAAATTCACACAGGGAAATTTATAGGGGTCAGCCCCCTTATTTCATATTTTAAGTCCCTAAATTCTTTTTACTCAATTCAACCCCTGGTTCAACATTCCTTGTGGGGTCTGGGTTATTAAGTTTAGAATTCAATTCAGAAACTCTAGGTTCAAGTTTCAGTTCAATCTTTTCTTTGTTGGGGAGCCATCTTTCTTTCCTCTCTGTCACCTGGGATGCCTAGGCTATTTTGAAAGTCTTTGTCAACAACAGAAATGACTCCTTCATTCATTCTTTAGTTAGGAGTGAACCTAGTAAACTTTTTAAAAAAGAAAGGTGAAAGTTTAAAGTAGCAAGAGAAGCAAACTAATTGAAAAGGTTTTGAACAAGTTTTTTTTTTACTTATTAAATAATAATGATAGATTATTTCTATTGGTTTATTAGAAGTTTTCTGGGATGTGTGTGTGTTCAACATCTAAGATGTAGAGACCACTTCTGAGCCCATCTCTAGAGAGGAACATTGCTTTTAGAAACATTACCCAGTGATTAATAGTCTAAAAAAAAGATTCTCAACCCTTTCTATACCAAATATTTTCAAATCTTCTTGACTGTTCTGAGACAAAATTCCTGGGTATTATATCTCACATATATTAAATATTATATATATAATGCATATGATATAACTTATATAAGTTTTACATACTAAGTTTTATATATTAAAATATATAAATGTATATACATAATGTAGACAATTTGTAAACTGAATAATATATATTACATATCATATATCATGTTATATAGATAATATATATCTTAAATGTATAAGCAACAAATATAATTAAGATATATTAATGTATAATTATATAATATATAACATATAACTATGTAAATATATATTTATATATTATATATAATATATGTATATTATATATATAAAATGAAACAAAATCCAATGTTCTTCTCATATGTTTGGATTCTCAGACTTAGAACTTGACTTGCTTAGGTGACCTGCAGGTTTTGAGAATAGGGTTTGGGTAGCTGAGCAGAGGTATTCCTGTGTCTAGAAATGGTGAGAGCTCTGGGAAGGTGTTGGCGAGGATGCGGGGAAAAAGGAACCCTCTTACACTGTTGATGGGAATGTAGACTAGTACAACCACTCTGGAAAAAAATTTGGAGGCTACTTAAAAAGCTGGACATCGATCTACCATTTGATCAGCAATACCTCTCTTGGGGATATACTCAAAAGACTGTTACTCCAGAGGCACCTGCACATCCATGTTTATTGCGGCACTATTCACAATAGCCAAGTTATGGAAACAGCCAAGATGCCCCACCACTGACGAATGGATTAAGAAAATGTGGTATCTATACACAATGGAATTTTATGCAGCCACGAAGAAGAACGAAATGTTATCATTCGCTGGTAAATGGATGGAATTGGAGAACATCATTCTGAGTGAGGTTAGCCTGGCTCAAAAAACCAAAAATTGTATGTTCTCCCTCATATGTGGACATTAGATCAAGGGCAAACACAACAAGGGGATTGGACTCTGAGCACATGATAAAAGCGAGAGCACACAAGGGAGGGGTGAGGATAGGTAAGACACCTAAAAAACAAGCTAGCATTTGTTGCCCTTAACGCAGAGAAACTAAAGCACATACCTTAAAGCAACTGAGGCCAATAGGAAAAGGGGAACAGGTACTAGAGAAAAGGTTAGATCAAAAAGAATTAACCTAGAAGGTAACACCCATGCACAGGAAATCAATGTGAGTCAATGCCCTGTATAGCTATCCTTATCTCAACCAGCAAAACCCCTTGTTCCTTCCTATTATTGCCTATACTCTCTCTACAACAAAATTAGAAATAAGGGCAAAATAGTTTCTGCTGGGTATTGAGGGGGGGAGAGGGAGGGGGTAGAGGGGGTGGTAAGGGAGGGGGTGGGGGGAGGGGGGAGAAATGACCCAAGTCTTGTATGCACATATGAATAATAAAAAAAAAATGAAAAAAAATTTGCTAAAAGAGTAGATCTATGTTAAGTGATCATATCTATAATAATAATAATAAAACAATGAATGGAATGGGAAGAAAGTTTGGGAAATGACGGACATGTTCATGGCCTTGATAGTTGTGACGGTTTCATGGGTATATACTTATTCCTAAACTCATAAGATGTATACATTAAATATGTATGGTATTTTATGCCAACATTATATCAATATATTATTATGTCAGGCACATTTCAATATATTTCAATAAAGTGTTTTTGTGTGTGTGTGTGTGTGTGTGTGTGTGGTACTGGGGCTTGAACTCAGGGCCTTCACCTTCAGCCACTCCACCAGCCCTTTTGTGTGTGTTTTTTTTTTGAGATAGGGTTGAGAACTATTTGCCCAGGCTGGCTTCAAACTGCGATCCTTATCGCTGCCTCCTGAGTAGCTAGTATTATAGGTATGAGCCATCAGTTATTTTTAAAAGCTATATACCCAAGAGCTAACCTGAAAGTTCTCAATGACCAAAGATGGAAAAATTTGAGCCCTATGTTAAATATAGTACTGGATTTTAACTCAAAGAATAAAATAAATACATGTGGGTACACACTAGTGCAAATAGATGATTAAGTAAATTAACAAATAAGCAAGAAAAAAACATCTTTCCTACAGAAGAATTCCATTTAATGTAGGTAGATTCTTGCCCTCTAGAGAGTGGAGTTTAATCTCCCTTCTCCTCCCCTCAGAGTGAGCTAGACTTAATTACTTATTTCCAAGGAGTAGAGAATAAACAGTAACTAGCAAACATTACCTCACCCAAGTGATGAGGGCTAGCTTCCTATGATATCACGTGAGTAAAACGTACTGTGATATGATGTGATGAGAAAGGCACTTCACATCTCTGGCACTTTTTCAAACAAACAAACAAACAAACAAAAAACCGTGCACCAAGTGTATCCACGGAAAACATCAGACAAACTCAAATTGGCGGCATTCTGAAGAGTACCTGACTAGGGCCCCTCCAGACTGTCAAGGCCATGAGAAATGATAAAGGCTGAAAAACTATCACAGATCAAAGGAGATTGTAGATATGACAATAAATATATGGATGGGGCTCTGAAACAGAAAGGGGACACTGCCAGGCGCTGGTGGCTCACTCTTATAATCCTGGCTACTCAGGAGACAGAGATCAGGAGGATCGCAGTTTGAAGACAGCCAGGGCAAATAGTTCACAAGACCTATCTTGAAAATATCCAACACAAACAGGACTGGTGAAGTTGCTCTAGTGCTTGAGCACTTGCCTAGCAAGCGTGAAGCCCTAAGTTCAAACTCCAGTACTGCCAAAAAGAAAGAAAGGGGTCATCAATGGAAAAGGAACTTGTAAATTCAAAGTCCACAGTGTTGTTAATTTTTTTAAACAGATTTTTGAAGTTACAAAAAAGTCCTTACTAGTTCAGTCTTTAGTGATTCATTTTTGTTCTGAGATTGAAATCATCTGATCTTACTTGAGTCTTAGTCCTCTGGTGTGATCTAAAAATTGTTTAACCAGGTAATTTTACTCCAGGGTTATCATTTTATTTTTATTTATTTATTGGCTGTATTGGAATTTGAATTCAGGGCCCTGTGCTTGGTAGGTGGGTGCACTGCCACTTGGCCTATGCCCCCAGCTCCTTTTACTTTTTAGATAGTGGCTTTTCTTTTGCCCAGGGTGGGCCTTGGACCACGATCCTCCTATCTGTACTTCCTGTATAGCCAGGATAACAAGGATGCACCACCATGCTCAGCTTGTTTGTTGAAATGGGGTCTCACTAACTTTTTGCTTGGGCTGGTCTCATCATGATCCTCTCAACCTCCACTTCCTGAATATCTGGGATTACAGGTATGAGCTATTATACCAGACCCAGGGGTTATAATTTTTAGCTGGCAGTCCAAAATCCCTTGTTTCAATTCTGAAATTAAAAAAAACAAAACCAAAATGAATCGACAACACTGAAAGTTTGTGATTTTTTTTTTCATAATTCTTTGGGTGTTCAAAATCTGACCTGAGGTGGGGCAATGGCCCCAGTCCCAGCTCTGTCATCCCATGGAAAGGTTAGTTTTTAGCTGCGTGGCTACCAGTACTGAAAACCTTCACACCTCCTGTTGGGATTATTTTCTTTTAAAAATGAAGGAACATTCTCCCATTTTTTGGGCCATTCTTTTGTCAACTTTACAAAACCGTATGTAACTTTATATTTTTAAAAGATAGTTTTGTAAATATTTAATATTGTCCTAATTTGATTTTGAATTGTAAACTTCAAGAATTCCATCTTTGGAGTCTTATTGTACTGTAATAAAAAGGAAGGATTGTACATTTTAGAATTTTTTTATGAGTATGTTTAATGTACTGAAAATATTTTTTTTTAAAAAAGTTGTCTGAACATTGTCACTTCAACTTTGTATTGAAGCACCTGGTCAGCCTTTTCCATGAGCCTCTGGTGAGGCAGGCTAAGACAGATAAAGTTTGGGACTCTTGAAATATGTATGATTTAAGGCTGTATTTCAGATTGAACATTCTTTTCTTTCTTTGAGCCTTCTTTTCAATTGTAAGTGAGTGTAAGTTATTTACACCCTGACATGGGAACTACTCAAACCTCCTCCAGTTCCTCCCAGGGACCACCCAGGCCCCTCACTGATTATTGGTGGTTGGAAATCACCAGATCCTTCCCTTCCCATAGGTTAGTGTAGGTTTTTAAAGTACCTGAAATAGAGAAAGATGTGCTCTCTGCTTCTGGCTTCCATCTGGCCCCACCATGGCGTTTTGAAACTCCTTCCCTACACCCACATGTCCTGTCTGGATTCTTCCATGTGGG